AAAAAAAAAAAGGGTGGAAAAAAATAACCCACTCAAAATTAATTTGGGATGCCTGGGTGGCTCAGTCAGTTAAGTGTCTGCCTTCAGCTCAGGTCATGATCCCCCTGGGATCGAGTCCCACATCGGGCTCCCTGCTCAGCAGGAGTCTGCCTCTCCCTCTGCCTGCTGTTCCCCCTGCTTGTGTGTGCTCTCTCTCTCTCTCTCTCATATAAATAAAATCTTAAAAAAAAAAAAGACTCTAAAAAAAATTTAACTGAAGTTCATAATCAAGGAATACAGTAAATCTATTCAAAGTACACACTATTTAAAAAAAATTTATTCTGTCCATTGAGGCATTTTATTTGCATATATGTATTACATCCCTAGAAAAAGAATCCCAGGATTTTCCCTCCTGTGTGTTTTTGTCTTGCTTTTTCATGGTCCATGATGCCAGTTGAGGTTGTCCATACGATGAAACTAAACTAGCAGGATATTCTGCCATTTTTCTACATCTTTGAGTTGTATGTCAAATCTGGAGCTGATCGCTCCACACTTGCCCAACCTGCCTGTGAGGTTCACAGTCTGTGATCATCAACGATTTCAAATTTGCCAATGTAACCATGCTTCATCATCACGGAAACCAGACAATGACTTTGGAGTATGGTCTAATAAGAACCTGGCATTTGTTTCTCTTTTCAGCATTGTTAATGCTCTTGAGAGCACCTGCCAGGGCATTCGTGTGCACCATTATGGCAGCACAGAAAGGTAGCAGAAAGAGGACCCGAAGTACACACAATTTAGAGTATGGTTGCTCAGTTGCCTTTATTACAAAATTAGACTTAGAGTGGCAACTTACAATGGATCTAATGTAGGAAAAACATTTTTTTGGAAAAAACGCTCTGTCTGCATTTTAAGATCTACTTTCCTGTTTCTATTAAGTGTGCTGCAACTCTGAAATATAACATTAGTGGTACTATGTGGAAAGAGGCAAGGAGTGAATATAAGCTATCTTGGACTACTGGGCATTGTGAACACACTGCCTGCTAGCTCTAGTGGTATCCCTTTGGTGTGACTTGCTGTTCTGTTTCTTGCATTTTGTTTTGGGAATGGCCTAGGATGACCTCGCTCCGTCCAGGTCACTGCTGCTCAGTCCAGTTGTACCTGATGATGCATACATGCCTAATCCATCCCATCCAGAGACTGTGTTTAATTCACATCTTGAAGAAGTCAAAGAAACATCTGGCAATTTCTCATCTGTGGATCTTAGCTTCCTGCCAGATGAACTTACCCAAGAAAATAAAGACCAGAGTATCATTAGAAGCAAGCACGAAATTGAAGAAAATTATAAAACTCAAAGTCAGCAAAGTAGGTTGTCATTATCCAGAGAGCAGGACATTGGTCTGGGCTTAATAAGCAACAGCAGTTTGTCGAATTCCCATTCACATCTGTACCCTGGTGATGCTGACTCAGTCCAGCCCTCTCTTGAGAAACCAAACTCCATGCCTCTGGTGTCCATAACTCCCATGACACCAATGACCCCTGTTTCAGAATGTTCTGGAATTGTGCCTCAACTACAGTAAGTTGTTTGTGTGTGTATGTGTGTGTTTTTAACAGGTGATGCTCCTGGGTACACATTTTATGTTCACGAATGTAATGACAACTAATTTCAGAATAATAGTGTAAGGAAGAGCACTTCAGGTTTAATTATTTGTTTATCCATTCTTAATGTATTGTGGCTTTAGACAGTTTGGTTATCTGTAAAATAAGGTACTAGTTCTGATCTCCTAAGAGAAGCTTAAGAGTTAGTACATACATTCTTGAAGGATTGTATTGTTTGTACTAAAGTACTCTAATTGCTGAGAATTGTGGTTGGGGTTGGATAAACACAAAGAATATAAAGACGTAAAATGAAATTCAGTTTGCAACTGATTTGGAATTATGCTTTCTATTTTGAGGCATGGTTTTGAAAAAGATTTCAAACTTGCTTTTAGTCAGCTAGTCATGACATTTTAGAGGAAGATATTTTTGTACTTCACTTAGGAATCTTTTACATTTTACTAGGGTTTGTCACGTTACTGTGTATTTCACACTGAGAATAGTTCTCCTCCTAGGAAGTTGCTAATATACAAGCTATAAAATGAGGAAGTTAATACATTTTAATTCTTTTTTACTTTTTATGTCTGATGTAATTTCTAAGTTGACTTATTTCTTCAGGAATATAGTTTCCACTGTAAACCTGGCCTGTAAATTGGATCTGAAGAAAATAGCTTTGCATGCAAAAAATGCAGAATATAACCCAAAGGTGAGATTTCTTAGTATTCCTTGCAACATTAGCTTCTACTTAGATTTACTTCATATGATCATGTTATTGACTTGCTCCTTTGTTTTTGTTTTTAAAACAGAAAAAAAATTGTTAGTACAAAGCTTTTGGCAACTCAAGAGGTTATTTGCCTCATAGTCTGCTTTGAAGTTCTAAAAAATAACCTCATTCTCTGTGATGAATAAAGCAGTGATTGAGCAGTTCCTAAAAGTTAGGATTTTTCCCTTGTCATTCAAAAAGATTTTTCAGTATGACCACTTTCAGCCTATGGGGATGCTAACCTTCTTAAAATGCCATCATAGTTCTGGAAATAGTGTTTTTTAAATCTTGTCCCACCTAAATTTTTCCATTTACAATTTCTCTTGCTTGAGAAAGGTAAATTGTTTAAAGTGTGAAGGTCAAGCTTTTACTTACGAATGTAAGATTCAGGGATTTATTTTCTCTCAAAGTCTAGTAAGATCTACTCTTTCTTGTGTCCTGCCAAGACTAAGCATCCAGTTTTAATGGCCTATTAACCGAGGAAGTAGATTTGTTCGTTCAGTCAGCATTTAGTAGTTGGCTGGTCTCTGTACCTATGAATGCGAAGATGAGTAAGACCTTGTCCCTACTAGGGAAAAGTTCACTCTCTTGGGGGGTGGAGGATTTATGGCCTTAGACGAAAAAGGCTGTATTTGTAGAAATGCAGAGGACCTTGTGAGCATCAGCTATTTATGGATTAAGTTGTTTTGGCTGTTGTGGGAGTGTTCTTGCTGACCTCTGAATTTAAATGTACTTGAATATTAGCCAAATATTTCCTTTTTCTGTTTCATGTAGCTGGCTATGATGAGCACAGAAACACAATGATAAGCTAGGATTCTTAGGGCCACAGCCATGACTGCCCACACTATTAAATAGGCACATTTAAGCATATTTTATTGTCCATCATTCTCTGCTCTCCTTCATTTTATTTTTGTGTATAGGACCTATCCAAACTTGGACTTGAGAGCCAGAGAAATTCTGGCTTGGCACTTAAGCTCCCTTCAGAATTCAATAAAATGAATACTGGGTTAGAGTATTATCTTAAACGCTTGGAAAACATTCACAAGATTCAATCAGCTCTGTGCAGTGTTGACTCAGGGTTCTTTCACTGTCTGTCAACATTTCAAATCTGAAACTGCCAGTCCCACCCTGGTTCCATGGAACTCCTCCAACCCATGGAAGCTGCAGTCTTGCAGAATACTCACCCCGGTTTCCTTCGCAGCTTGCCAGGGGAAGATGAGCGCAGAAGGGGGTACCTGTGTAGGACCAGAAGGAGCAGCAGGTCTTTGGTGACATGTCAGTGTGGCAGGCCAGTCCTCCCTGGTACCCCTTGTATCAGCACCTCCTGGAGGGCCTGCCCATGCTGCTGTGTGGGGAACCATACTGAGAACTGAAAATCAATTTGTCTTTCATCTTCAGCATGCCTATCAATATGTAAATTCTGTTCTATAGTTTGGCAATTTTTTTAGTACATTCTGGAGTCTTGGCAAGCCTATAACATACTTCCTACTCCCCCCACCCCAATAGTCTTTGAAAGAAAAAGGAAGTATTTCAAAGTAAAAAGCACAGCATCTAACTAGTCGTGGCTTTAAATCTCAACTTTACCATTGCCTGTGTAAAGTGGGAAGTTAAATAACCACTTCGTTTCCCTGTGCACTAAATGGTGATGCTCATGGACTCAGTTGAGCTCTATCCTGATGATAAAGGAGACAAAACTTGTAAAGCTCTTAGTATTAGGCTTGAAATAGAACAGGCACTCAAATTTTAGCTTTATTGTTCTTATCCTTACCTGTTTTTTTCTAAGTACATTTTAGAATCATGATTGTTTTTGTTTACCTTAGTGCAGGGAGACATTTTTTTCGCTTTCTCATCCAATCTCCATTTATTCAAGACTCTTTTTATGTCCAGCTCAGCTTTTCAACTGGAATAGTGTTAAAGCCTAGCAAGAGACTAATTGTCCCTTTGACTTCTGTGTATAGAGGTTTGCTGCTGTCATAATGAGGATCCGAGAGCCCAGAACAACAGCCCTTATATTTAGCTCTGGGAAAATGGTCTGCACGGGAGCCAAAAGGTATGCGGAACCACTCTCCACCCTTACCAGATAAATAATTCAGTATATAAAACAAGGAAGGATAGTATTTATGTTCCAAAACACCTCGGAGGAGCAAAATACTTTGCCCAAGAGTTAAGTTCATGAAATGCCAAATTTCGGGTTAAAAACATTCAGTTGTGCAATACTGACTCTGTCCGCTTTGCAGTCCCCCATTAAACTGAGGGGACTTAGGTGGGCTGTTAGAGCTTGATCTTAAGGTACACTTAAAAGCTACCATAGTGATAAAGCCTGTTATAAGCCTGGGGAGGTAGTTATTGTATATTTTTCTTATTGCAGATAAATGGAGAGAACTTTTTAAAGGAGGTAAATTAGGTACTTTTGACGATTACCTTGAGCATTAGCTCAGGAGGCAACTCTTAAAAGGCTCACCTCCCCTGGATCTCATGCAGAGGAAGCCCTGTGCTGCTACAGACCCTTTCACCATCCAACTGTAGGGGGAGAGTTGCTCATTCCTCTATGGGTTAGAAAATGAGTAGTAAGTTGTCCTCCTGGAAGACTGTATGAATTTGTCTTCACTCTACAGATATACCAAGATTCCTTTCCTCCAAGGAACACTGGGTATTAATACTCTTTTTTATATTTGCCAAATGGTTTGGCAAAAAAAACAAAAGTGTTAATTACATTTCTTTGATTTGCTAGTGAGATGAACTTTTCATAAGCATGTAAACTGCCTACTGTGTCTTTTGCCCAATATTCTATGGAATTATTGGTCTTTTGTAAACAACTTTTTGTTTGTACGTATTTCCACCATTTTGCCCTATATATGTTATTTCCCAAATTACTGTTTATGGTGTTTTATGATTTTTTTTTACACAATTAACATTTTTGTGTGTGTATAGTCCCATTTTTCTTTAGGGTTTTGATGTTTGGCTTCATGCTTAGGAAGGCATTCCCCATGTACAACATTATATAAATATTGACCTCTGTATATTTTTCTGGCCTTTTTCAGGTCCTGCTTTGTATTGAGGGAAAGAAGTTGATGTTTTGATTCAGTGTGAGCTTTTTCTAGGTGATGGAGATGTTTTCCATGTGTGCTCTCCAGCGTGGTAGCCACTAGTTACATGAAGCTGTTGAACAGTTGAAGTATAGGTAATACACAGAGGAACTTAATTATTTTTTAAAGATTTTATTTGAGAGCGAGGGAAAGCACACAAGCAGGGGGAGGAGCAGAGAGCAAGGGAGAAGCAGGCTCCCCACTGAGCGGGGAGCCCAACGCAGGGCTCAATCCCAGGACCCCAGGATCATGACCTGAGCTGAACGCAGGCACTTAACTGACTGAGCCACCCAGGCGCCCTGGAACTTAATGTTTTATTTAATTTTAATTTAAATATAAATAGCTATATGTGGGGGCGCCTGGGTGGAGCCCTGTGTTGGGCTCCCTGCTCAGCATGGAGTCTGCTTCTCCCTCTCCCTCTGCTCCTCCCCAAACTGCTCTTATTCTCTCTCTCTCTCTCTCAATCTACCTTCTCTCAAATAAATAGAATTAAAAAAAATAGCTATATGTGGCTAGTGGCTACCATATTGAGCAGAGCTGGCCCAGAATTTTATTTCACTAGAAGATAAATTTTTCTTTTCAAATGGCCAGTAAGTGACCGGATACATTTATTGAAGAATCTGTATGTGGTTTTTTAGTATAGTTGACACACAATGTTACATTAGTTTCACGTGACTCAGCAGGTTTAGACACTATGCTGTATTCCCCAGGAGGGTAGCTACCATCTGTCCTCATACAAAGCTGTTACAGTGGCATTGCCCATGTTCCCGGCCTTTTATTCCTCTGGCTTCATTCCCTAACTGAAAGCCTGTATCTCCCACTCCACTCATTTTGCCCAAGCCCCAGCCCCCCTCCCCTCTGGCAACCATGAGTTTGTTCTCCGTTTTTATGGGTCTGCTTCTGCATGTTTTTTAAGATTCCATATGTGAGTGAAATCATATGGTATTTGTCTTTCTCAGTCTGACTTACTTCACTTAGCATAATACCGTCTAGGTCCATCCATGCTCAAATTGGACAATCTCATCCTTTCTTATAGCTGCATAATGTATTGTGTATATATACCACATTTTCCTTATCCTCTACCAATGGACACTGAGGTTGCTTCCATATCTTGGCTATTGTAAATAATGTTGCAGTAAACATGGGGTGCATTTATCTTTTCAAACTAGTGTTTTTGTTTTGAGTAAATACCCAATAGTGGAATTATTGGATCATATGGTATTTCTATTTTTAATTTTTTTATAGGAATATTTATTTGAGAGAGAGAGAGAGTGAGCACGGGAGGGGGGAGGGTCAGAGGGAGAAGCAGACTCCCTGCTGAGCAGGGAGCCTGATGCGGGACTCGATCCTAGGACTCTGGGATCATGACCTGAGCCGAAGGCAGTCGCTTAACCAACTGAGCCACCCAGGCACCCTATTTTTAATTTTTAAAGGACCCTCTATACTGTTTTCCACAGTGGCTGTAACAGTTTACATTCCCACCAATAGTGTACGAGGGTTCCTTTTTCTCCACATCCTTACCAACAGTTGTTATTTCTTGTCTTTTTAATTTTAGCCATTTTCACAGGTGTAAGGTGATATTTCATTGTGGTTTTGATTTATATTTCCCTGATGATGAGTGATGTTGAGCATCTTTTCATGTGTCTGTTGGTCATTTGTATGTCTTTGGAAAAATGTCTGTTCAGGTCTTCTGCCCATTTTTTAAACGGATTGTTTTTTTGGTGTTGAGTTGTATAAGTTCTTTATATATTTTGGATATTAACCCCTTAACTGATATGTCATTTGCAAATATCTTCTCTTATTCACTAGGTTGCTTTTTGGTGTGTTGATGGTTTCCTTATTGTGCAAAAGCTTTTTATTTTGATGTAGTCCCAATGGTTTATTTTTGCTTTTGTTTCCCTTGCCTTTGGATACATATCTAGAAAAATGGTGCTGTGGTCGATATCAGAGAAATTACTGCCTGTATTCTCTTCTAGGATTTTTATGGTTTCAGGTCTTGAATTTAGGTCTTTAATCCATTTTTAATTTATTTTTGTGTATGGTGTTTTAAAGTGGTCTGGTTTCATTTTTTTACATGTACATAGCTACCCAATTTTCCCAGCATCATTTATTGAAGAAACTGTCTTTTCCCTGTTGTATATTCTTGTCTCCTTTGTTGTAGATTAATTGGCCATATAATTATGGGTTTATTTCTGGACTCTCCATCCATTAATCCATATATTTGTTTTCGTGCCTGTTTGTGTGTTTTGATTACTACAGTTTTGTAGTATATTTTGAAATCTGGTCTTGTGATATCTCCAGCTTTGTTTTTCTTTCTCAAGATTATGTTGGCTATTTGGGGTCTTTTGTGGGGTTCCATACAAATTTTAGTAGTAGTCTAGTTTTGTGAAAAACATTGTTGGTATTCTGATAGGGATTGCACTGAATCTATAGATTGCTTTGGGTAATATGAACAGTTTAACAATATTCTTTCAATTCATGAGCATGGAATATTTTTTTTTTCATTTGTTTGTGTTATCTTCACTGCTCTACAGTTTTCAGAGTACAGGTCTTTTGCCTCTTTTTTGATTGTTTATTCCTAGGTATTATTCTTTTTGGTGCAATTATAAGTGGAATTGTTTTCTTAATTTCTCCTTCTACTTTTTCTTATTAGTGTATAGATAGGCTACCAATTTCTGGGTATTAATTTCACATCCTGCAACTTCACTGAATTCATTGATTATTTCTAGTAGTTGTTTGGTGGAGTCTTTAGGATTTTCTATGTATAGTATCATGTCATCTGCACATAATGACAGTTTAACTTCTTTACCAGTATGAATACCTCTTATTTTTTGTCTGATTGCTGTGCTTAGGACTTCCAGTATTATGTTGAATAAAAGTGGTGACAGTGGACATCCTTGTCTTGTTCCTGATTTTAGAGGAAAAGCTCTCAGCTTTTCACCATTGAGTATGACGTTAGCTGTGGGTTTTTCATATATAGCCTTTATTAGGTTGAGTTCCCTCTAAACCCATGTTTTTGAGAGTTTTTATCATGAATGGATGTTGAATTTTGTCAAATGTTTTTTCAGCATCTGTTAGGATGATCAAATGATTTTTATCCTTTGTTCTGTTGATGAGGTGTATCATTTTGATTGATTTGTGAATATTGAATCCTTCTTGCATCCCCAGAATGAATCCCACCTGATCATGGTGAATGATCTGCTTAATGTATTGTCGTATGTGGTTTGCTAATATTTTGTTGAGGATTTTTGCATCTATGTGATGAATCCATTCTTAATCCATTTCCCCCCACCTGTTTTTACATATTAAATTCTTTACATGTGTCTGGGTAATTTTCTGGGCTTTCTCTTCTGTAGATCTGTGTGTCCTTGGACCTAGAGATCTACCATTTTTAAGTCCTTATTGGACAACTCTGCAAGGTATCTGCCAGGATGTTCATTTCAGCATTGTGTAAAATGGGGAAAATTAAAATAATGGGAGACAAATAGCTAGTAATAAAGTTTTCATTAGGTCATAAAATTATATTTAGCTATTAAAACATACACACATATATCAAGGATAGTCACATTGTGTTAAGTTGTAGGGGAACAGGCAACTAAATTATAAGTTTATTAGCCAACTTTCACTTTAAAATATGCTATATTACAGACATATTCATGAGTATCTTTCCCTATCTGAATTTACCTGGGTCCCAAAATCTGATGGTGAAAGTTTGGATACTAAGTTCAGATAATAAGAGATACTTGTTACCGAAATCTATTTGGTTCTTGAATCTTGAATAGAGATTTGTGAAATTTTGGTTAGTCTAAGAGCTATCAGAATTATTTCCAAAAATGGATCCAAACCTATTCCTTTTAGTTGTTAATAACCAGAGTTTGCTAGTGAAGGATACCTGTGTTTGCACAGGAAAAATACAAAAGGGTCAAATGTATTCCGTGGTTATGACCACTGGTGGTGACATTTCAAGGTTCTTATTCTATTTCCTAATGTTTGTATAAGAACATGCATGTAGACTTTAACCACAAGTTGTTTGAATGGGAATTTCTATGGTCCTATTCACAGCTACTATCCCACGAAACTACAGGACTACCCAAACTTAAAATTTGACCTTATAAACATGAGCACAATGGGCAATGTAATGGGCCAATTAGTAAAATGTAGTTTTTCAAACTAGAAACTGTTTATTTCACTGCTAACTTAGGGACATCTTAGGGTGAGGAGAAGCAACGTGGAGTGGAGTGAAATATGTGAAGGAATTAATACACATAAGAGGGGCTGTGTGGTGAAGGATCTAGATAGGAAAGAGAATGGAATGCTTCCATTGGTCCAGGCAAACAAAAAGTTAAATCTGGCTTTTCTTTCCGGTGTTTCTGATTTTCAGTGTAAAGATGGGGCAACCCAAAAGAGAGGGCAGAGTTCACATGGTTCACCCACCAGGTTTTGCTCCTGTTTGGCAACCCCTGCTACTCATTGTTTTGTTTTGACAAGTATAGCCTCACATTGCAGGACTTCACATTCTGTGACCTGGATTTAGGGTTGGAGCAAGACAAACACTTAGAAGAGTATGGCCACAAAGTTGAATGAATGTCTTTCTTTCTCATGTTGGGTGTGAGTTGAGTGACCATTCTGTGAGAAAGCCTGAGCAAAACTGGTTAGGTTTTGAGGTGTTTTCATGCCTTTTTTTTTTTTTTAAGTGTAATTTGTCACATGAAGATCGAAGTCCTGGTATCCTGTCTTTGCCACCTGATTGGCCTACCTCTTCCTCGTGTTGATTTTTTTTTTTAATTTTTTAATTTTTATTTATTTTTTAAAAAATTTTGTTTGACAGAGCGACACAGCGAGAGAGGGAACACAAGCAGGGGGAGTGGGAGAGGGAGAAGCAGGCTCCCCGCTGAGCAGGGACCCTGATGCGGGGCTCGATCCCCGGACCCCGGGATCATGACCTGAGCCGAAGGCAGACGCTTAACGACTCAGCCACCCAGGCACCTGATTTTTTTTTTTTAGATGCATGTGTCTTTATTTTTGCTGCTGCTGTTCCCATCTAAGTGGCACACACTTTTAGACCAGATGGATAGTTCTCAGACTTTACTGAGCATCACGATCTGGAGGGCTTGTTAAAAATATAGACTGCTGAGCCCTAACCACAGAGTGTCTGAGGCTGGGACCTTTGCATTTCTAACAAGTTCTCAAGTGGTGATGCTCCTGCAGATCTGAGGACACACTTTGAGAACCAGTGGAATAGTTAATTTTATCTAATAACCTTTAAAACAAGAGAGAAAAATACCCTATATGTGAAAGATGACAAATTAAGATGAGAATGTGTTTATGGTTTGGTTTTGACCATTGTACCATACCTTTTACTAGGTGCTAGGGACACAAGTAGGGGAGGGTGGTCCTTGTCCTCAACATCTACAGGTTTGTAATATACATTGAGAGATAAACCGGTACAAATGCTAAAAGTACAATCAGGGAAGTACGTGAATACAGCCTAAGCAGTATAGAGGACACAATGATTAAGATCTCTCTAAACACATTTGTCCCTCCCTAGTGAAGAGCAGTCTCGACTTGCAGCGAGGAAGTATGCTCGTGTGGTGCAGAAGCTGGGGTTCCCAGCCAGATTCCTCGATTTTAAAATTCAGAACATGGTTGGAAGCTGTGATGTGAGATTTGCCATCAGGCTGGAAGGTTTGGTGCTAACCCATCAGCAGTTCAGTAGGTATGACCATTCTATAACTTTCTGAGTTTACCAAGATATTGAAGTTGTGTTATGCACTCCTTATATAGTGTACCTTTTGGAGAAAGTGGTGTTGTTCTTTTTAAAGACTGTAGGTGAAAGGATTAAGATGCTGTGCTTAAGTCCTTCCTTGGTTACTCTATGTGTCCAATCTTAAGCAGTGGTTCTCAAAATTACACTGTACAGTACTCACCTGGACCGTTTTTTTTTTTTTTTAAAACACTTTGCTACCGGGGCTGCATGGTCACAGATGGTGCTTGAATTTGTAGTTCTAACAAGCTCACAGGTGATGTCAATCCTGCTCGCCAGAGGCTTGAGACTCACTACTGTGCAGATTTCTGAAACAGGCACACCTGCCTTGGGGGAGTGGAGACCCCAGAAGAGAAGGGGTATGAGATGGGTTAGGCAGGTCGGAAGGGGCTGGCGGCTGGCAGGGGAGAGAGGGTGGGGGAGAAGATGAAGAAAGAGTGCCCTGGCACATTCTGTGAAGGCAATCCTATCTAGTGTTTTTCCTGTTGATTTCGAGGGGGTTTTGTGTGTTTGTGTCACGCTAGCTCCCACCGCAGTTTCTTCTTTAGTGGAGTCCTGTTCCTCAGGGAGCATCTGTAGGTTGCTTCTTCACGTGTAACTCCCAGCTCATCAGCAAAGCCTCAGCATCCTCTTCACTCAGCTGCTTTGGTGCTTCTTCTAGCCTGTCAGTCCCTCAGCAGCGTTGGAGGCGGGCGGTCAGCCCTGGAGCCCGCCACCCTGAGGCATATATAGCTGTCCAAGGTCACTGAGCTGCTTAGAATCACAGATGCTCTTAAATTCTCTTCCTCTAAATTGAACTTCTGTCCTTTTGCTCGCCTTTCCCCCTCTTTGACTTGGAGTGCTCATTCCTCTTAAAAGTGAATAGAGATCCTGTAGCTGTGTTTTAGCTAACACTCATTGGCCTTCTTTTTGAGACACGGTCTGAACACCTGTTAAAAATTGCTTGTTTTTTCCTAGCTTTTCAAAAATCCAAGTTCATGCTGAGATTCGGCTTTGATGATATTCTTCAGGCAATGTTTATTTTCCCCTTGATTGTATTTTTTCCTCTACATTAGTTTTGTTTTTTTTTTTTCCAACATATGCTTATTGGGTGCCTGTGATGTGCCCAGTGAGCTCACTGTGAAGCTCCCCATGCAAGAAATACTGCCTTTTTAGAGATCTTTTTCTTTCTTCAGTCTTGGGATGGGTTGTAAATTCATAGTAAAACCTTTCTTGTTAAGAGTCTCTCAACACAGGAGCCGTTTTTTTCTTCCAGATTCTCAACCATGGGCCTCTGGTTTGTCTCTCTCTGAACCAACTTTTCCTGAATGTATGAAAGATGTCCTCCTGAATTCTGCCTGTCTGTATCAGATTTAGCACCCCACTTTCTGGCCATTAAGGGCTCTAAAATGATGTATGCTATTCCTCCCAAGTTTCTTGTCATCTCTTTTTCACCAAGATTGTCATCTTTGTAGTTCAGATTTAAGTCTAGAGCAGGAGTGCCTCTTGTCACTACTCCCACTTTCTGAAAGAGAATGGCTGGGCAAGATGAGAGTTCATCATATGCATTGACTTTAGCCTCTTGGAGTGGGTCCATCACTGTTCTATTTTCATTCTGAACCAGTTTTATTATCTCCTCCATCTTTTAAAAAAAAATTTTAGCCAGAGGGGCGCCTGGGTAGCTCAGTGGTTAAGCGTCTGCCTTCAGCTCAGGTCATGATCCCAGGGTCCTGGGATCGAGCCCCACATCGGGCTCCCTGCTCAGCGGGAAGCCTGCTTCTCCCTCTCCCACTCCCCCTGCCTGTGTTCCCTCTTTCGCTGTGTGTCTCTGTCAAATAAATAAATAAAATCTTAAAAAAATTTAGCCAGAAAGCCTGCATTGTATTCCTACCACCATCTCTTTCTGGTCTTATTCTTGCCTCCTCCAAAAGTTTGCCATTCAGGCTCCACCGTTAGGTTATGGATTACAGCTCCAGTGTGTGTATTGATGACATTGGGGCATTAAAACACTTCTTTCTTAACAGGTTTGTGTATTTAAAATGAGGCCTCTCCTGGGACACCTGGGTGGCTCAGTCAGTTAAGCATCTGTCTTGGCTCAGGTCATGATCCCAGGGTCCTGGGATTGAGTCCCACATCCAGCTCCTTGCTCAGTGGGGAGCCTGCTTCTCCCTCTGCCTCTGCCCTTCCTCCCTGCTTGTGCTCTTTCCCTCTGACTAAATAAATAAAATTTTTTAAAAAAAAATGAGGCCTTTCCTTAAGTGTCTGCAGCCTTATGGGGAACCATGGCACACATCAGTTGTAATTATTAGGTCAATTTTGCCTATGTTAAGGGACACCTGGGTGGCCCAGCCAGTTAAGTGTCTGTCTTCAGCTCATGTCATAATCTCAGGGTCCTGGAATTGAGCTCCATATTGGGCTCCCTGCTCAGCAGTGTGTCTGCTTCTCCCTCTTCCTCTGCCCCTCTACCCTGCTCATGCTCTCTCTCTCTCTCAAATAAATAAAATCTTTAAAAAAAAGTTTGCCTATGTTAAAACCTCCAAGTTCCTTCAATTCCCCTGGTTCTACAAGTTTGTGTATTAGCATCTCATACCACAAGTATCCCCCTTGTCATTGGGGGGATGTCAATATTTCTATGCTGTAATTATTTCCAGTTTCCCCTGAGCATTGTTCTCCCTTCTTTCAGTTTCTAAATCAAAGATCCCTGATAATAAATATTTAAGTGAGTCACATCTAGGTGGCTACCATGTAGCAGATGCTACAGTGATCATGATAGTCCAATACAGCCAGCATCCAGGACACCTGGATGGCTCAGTCAGTTGAGCATCTGACCCTTAATTTTGGCTCAGGTCATGATCTCAGGGTTGTGAGGTTGAGCCCTACAATGGGCTCCATGCTGAGCATGGAGTCTGTTTGGGATTCCCTCTCTCCCCCTCCCAACTCCCATCCCCACCCTCCAACCCCTGCTGGTGTACTCTTTCTCAAAAAGGGGAAAGGAAAAAAGAAAAAAAAATACAGCTGTGGTCCCTTGCCCTCGTGGAGCTCACTGTCTAAAAGGGAAGACAAAAAAGCTAAAGATAATATGGTAACTATGAAGGTGGACACCTCTTTGAGTGCTATGGTACCATTGAGCAGGATATTTAATGTAACGGGGGGGGGGGAGGAGTGTGGAGGTCAAAGTTCTTATGGGAAGTGACATTTAAGCCAGGAGTTGAACGGTGAGTTGAAGTTGGGTTGGCCAAGAGATTGGCAAATGTTTGTTATTCTTGAACTCATGCAATTCTCCATCTCTAACCAAAATAACTTTTTTACCCCCTCTGCCTCAACCTTCTTTGAAATGAGGCGGAGAATAAGTAAAATAAAGTAAATATCTCCTTGGAAGTTTATTATGCTGGTTTCTTAAAACTATGGTTCTGAAAGCCAATTGCAGTTTGCCACCACTTACATACCGAAGACTTTGTTTTCTCTTCCCCCCGCTTTTTTTTTTAAGATTTATTTACTTATTTTAGAGAGGGAGAGAGTGAGAGAGAGGAGATCGAACATGAGCAGGGGTAGAGACAGAGGGAGAGGGAGAGAGAGAAAATCCCAAGCAGACTCTCTGCTGAGTGCAGAGCCTAATGTGGGGCTTGATCTCACAACTGCAAGATCATGACCTGCGCTGAAACCAAGAGTCGGACGCTCAACCAACTGAGCCACCCAGGCACCCCCTCTTTTCCCTTGAAAATGCTAAGATTCTGTTGGAAGATCAAATGGAAACATTCCTTCTGTGTCTCTAGCTTTCACTTTCTTGGTTCAAACCTCAGCTCCCATACAGATTTTGCAGGGCTCCAGCTAGTATCATTGACTCCCCAGTGTTGAGAAGTGGTAAGTAAGTTAAGTCTTTTTTTTTTTTTAAGATTTTATTTATTTGAGAGAGAGAATGAGATAGAGAATGTGAGAGGGGGGAGGGTCAGAGGGAGAAGCAGACTCAGGGAGCCCGACGCAGAACTCAATCCCGGACTCCAGGATCATGACCTGAGCTGAAGGCAGTTGCTTAACCAACTGAGCCACCCAGGCGCTCCAAGTAGGTTAAATCTTGACAGGTTTTCTGCAGTAAGAGTGACCTTCCAGGAAGACCAGTCTACCCAAAGCAACCTCCATATACTTCAGAAGGGTAGACTCTCCACTGTAACACATCATCCTGGTACCAGTAAGAGATTTCACATCTGCTGTTGTATGGGTCTTAACTCATTGTGGAATGGAATGGAAGGCGTTTTTCTGTGTGGTCCTGATTCACCCATTAAATGCAAAGATTTACATATATTGTGTTCCATTTCTCAGATTTCTTCTTTTTCTTATATCTGTTCTTAGCCATTGCTTTAATTTTGTCAGCTTCCTTTTAACTCTTGACTTCTTTTTTGAAGTCTCCTTAAGCCTTTCTAGGAGTCTCTCTACTTTATGCTGGAGCCTGAAACAGTTTTTAGCCCTCTCCTCCTCCTCCTACATTTAGTAGTAAATATGAGTGAGTTACTATTTTAGGACCAAGTCCTAAATTTGTTTTGTTGTTGTTGTTTTTAGTAATCGCTATATACAACATGGGGCTTGAACTCATGACCCTGAGATCAAGAGTCCTGTGCCCTTCCAATTGAGCCAGCCAAGTGCCCCACAAACCCTAAATTTTTAAAAGTTGGGATAGTTTAGTTTTCTTTACTGCACATGTCCAGAGACAAATGATGGTGGTCTGGAAGACTTCTTAGGTTCTAAAATTGTTCTCCTTAGCAGTTTATAAATGTGTACAAAATGTGCTCATTATTGGGAAACTTGGAAATTTAGAAAATTTAGAAAACACGTTTATGTATTTTTATTCGTAGACTTTTTTTTAACCAGCAAGATCTTAATACATTAAATTTGACGCCCTAACTTACCTTAATTTTTTTTAAAGGAGGGAGGATACAGTAAATTTTTTTTAAGATTTTATTTATTTATTTGAAAGAGAGAATGAGAGATAGAGAGCATGAGAGGGAAGAGGGTCAGAGGGAGAAGCAGACTCCCCGCTGAGCAGGGAGCCCGATGCGGGACTCGATTCTGAGACTCCAGGATCATGACCTGAGCCGAAGGCAGTCGCTTAACCAACTGAGCCACCCAGGCGCCCTACCTTAATTTTTAATAGCTTAGCATGACCTGCATTTGAAAAAATGTCATGACCAAAGATGAATTCTGTTCCTGACAGTCATAAGAAATTGCTTAGGGCACTCCAGACTATTTTTATTAAGATGGTCAAAAGGTTTTGGTAGAATAGCTTTAATACGCTGGGTCTTGAATGTTATGGGAAAGTAGTTGAATAGTACTATTTTTAACTTTTTTTCCTTTTATATCTGAACAGTTATGAACCTGAACTGTTTCCTGGCCTTATTTACAGAATGGTAAAACCACGGATTGTGTTGCTTATCTTCGTATCTGGGAAAGTTGTGTTGACAGGTAAGTTCTAAGATTATTTTCTGACTTTCATAGGCCTCAATAGCTATGTGTTGCTTTGCTTCTCCTTTCAAATGGCTTTGTTCACCATTATAAAGTAAGTCTCAATATTGTAGAACACCTGGAAAAACATGAAAAGTAGGAAGGATTATAATATCACTCATTGGTCTCAATACCCAAAACAATATAATTTTTTCATGTTTTTATGTTATTTTGATATGTATATTTATCTTTACATCCTGCATGTTTATTAACCATTATAGCATTTAGCTTCACTCATTGTCATACACTCCTCAAGAACACCTTTAACAGCTGCACAGTGTTCTAACAGAGGGGTCATCAAACCTGTTTTCTGTAAAGGGCCAAATATGAAATATTTTAGGCTTTGTGGTCATAGGGTCTCTGTTGCAATAGTGGAACTCTGCCACAGTCGTGCAAGAGTAGCTATAGACATTACAGAAAGGAAAGCACGCTGAAATGCAAATTTAATATAATCCATATAATTTGCATGTGTCATGTAATATTCTTTGATTTTTTTTTTGCCCCCAGCCACGTAAATGATTGAATTTAAAACCATTTTTTAGCTCACAGGCTATACAAAAACAGGACTAGCCCTCTGTCTCCTGACTTCTGTTCTAACACGTTATCATATCAAACTTACTTTTCCATTGTCAAGCATTGAAATGTTCCTTCTTTGTTTGCTGCTTATAATGGCACATTTGGCTATTTTTATGTGTGGAGAATTATTAGTGTGGATGCTTAGAAATGGAACTTTGTTTTAAGGATATGACTATTCTTAAAGTTCTGAGTACAAATTACCAAGTTGTTTTTTAAAGGGATACACAATATAGTTCTCTCCAATTATATGTTCCTACCAGCAATGTACTTGAGTATCTTTTACAAACCCTCAGTAGCATCCAAAACAAAGGTGGCATGAAAGAAAACTTGAACTTTATAAGTGAAAATGATCTCACTGCTTTACCTCACTGGTAATCAGAAATAGAAATTGATGACTTTTTAAAACCTATTCAAGAAATAGCATTTCATCTTTTGTCGATAGTGTGTACATAACTTAATCCTTTCTGCCTACTTACTTTTTATTATTTTTCCCTCTAAGGATTTGTATGAGTTCACCATAATATTAAAAGTAATTACTCTTTGTTATACTTATGACTTTTTCCAGTTGGTTTATTTTTACATAAAGAAGGGTTTTTAAAATTCTTGAGGTAAATGGTTGAGACTCATTTCCATACCATCTTATTGAAGTTTGCTATTTTTGTCTGATTTTGTCTGACTTTTTACACATTTTACTATTGTGTAGCAAGATGAATGCCAAATTTATATCTTAGGAGCCAAACTGATTATGCCCCACTCTCAGATAGCCAGCTAGCCAGCCTACCACGAACTATTACTCTCCTTATTATTAATAATATTTGTCATGACTCCATTTGTCCTTTACATTTACATATAAAGTTATCACTCAGCGTCCAAAAACATGGAATTTCTGTTCTTAAGTCTTCTTTTAGAACTCCCAGTAAAGTTTCATAGTTTGTTTTACTGTAACAAATAACTAATGTGTCTTCAAAGTGGGGAAAGCCCGTTTGGAATTCAGGAACCTTTTGAATACAACAAAGCTAGACTTTCTCAGATGCTGCCAATGTAGAGTCTAGAATAATTAAGACCTCCTAGTGACTGACTTAAAGTTTACTTCTATATGTCCTGAAGGACAGGGGGAAATGTCTGCCAAGTAAGTTGAATAGTTATAAATATTGGAGCAAACATACGCCCTACTTAAGGGAACAAACTTTTGAAGACCTTGGGAAGGACACGTTCATATACTTGCTATATATCATTATTAATCAGTCTTACTAAAAGTGCCAATTGACAAGTACAGGCTAAGTTTCTATTATAGATACACAAAAACAAGCCCCTTTAAATATCCTTAATTCAAACCAGCTTTCTCACCCCAATTAAAATGAAAAAAACAACTTGCGTGTACAATTTACTACAAGTTTCAAGTGACAGAAGTAAAGAACTGTCTACACGCAATACCAAAGACCATGCAATACACTTATACATAACAAATAAAATTTGTTATGCATTCATGTAAAACAAAGCTAAGTTTCTTCATTCTTACAAGATGTAGATCATCACTTTTGTGAACGGGGGAATGAGTTGTATTAACTGAAGTCCAAATTTCTGCTTACAAGATGAAGTAAAAGCCAGCCAATGTCTTAATACTGAAATATGAGTAATTGTCTATTGGGATCTTTCCCTGCTCATGCTGTATTGTCTTAAAGTACTTCACCTAGAATACATGGTTTAGGTTACTTTTGCTCCAAACGTCAAGACCTATGTTCCTTATTCTCTATCCTTACCTATCTAGACTCTTTTCATCTGCAAAGGGTTTAAAAACTCAAGGACCCAATTTGGGTGTAAACCTGAGGAAAGGGACCAAGGAGGCCTCCTTTTAGCCTTGCTTCTAGAACTTTAGCTGGGGATGGTCACATGGAGTGTCCAGGGGACTCCTAGAGGCACACACCGCAAGACTCTGCAGAGCTGTTTTGGAAGGTCCCACAAGGGTAAATAACTTTTGTCTAGAAAATGTTAGAGTACTGAAATTACAAATGCATTTGCATTTCACTCTAATTAAATAATGGATCCCAGCCCTTCCCTAGGTAGGAACTGTAGAACACCACACCTACTGTAAGTGCAATTCTAAACCATTGTATCACATGCCATTTTCAGGGCCTCTGAAAATAATTTATCTGTGTAAAATTGTCTTACTCCCCCGAGGTGCCAAGGCTGTGGCCACCATGTCCAAGGCTACATTTGAATGTTCTAATTATAGTTAAGTGAGCTGATGGCCATGAAGCCCTGCCATCCTACTGTGTCATGGTCCCTGACAGCAAAAAGCAACAGGACCTGAGCCAAGCCTTACACTGTTTTCCCAAGCCCGTGCTGGGAAATGATGGTATGATATTTAGGACCTAGGATTTTTTTTTCTCAAGCCGCAGTAATAATATAGCTAGGATCTGCTGGAATAATATACAATGAACAGCAACTATGTTGGCTTCCATTTCTAAGATCAGACACCATAAAGTGAACATATGTTGGGCATGTCTGTGCCAGGCACTGTCATAAGACTTTTTTGTAGGTTCCAGTTAACTCTGTGAGGTTGTACTGAACATCTCTGTTTCCTCACCGGTAAAATGGGGACAATGGAGAAGTTAAGTAACCTTAACCATGTCAGACAGCTGTACGTGCTGCAGCACAGGTGGGAACTTGAGCAGGCTGTCTCCAGAGCCTCCCACCCCCACATACTCATCCTGTCCCCCAACTCTTTAGATGTCTGTGCAAATGCCTGTGTGGTCTTTGGGGGCACCTTCTCGCTTATCCTCGTCAGCTGAAGGACAGAGGTGAGAGGCAGCAGGTGTGGTGGCTGAGAGGCTGGGTTCTGGAAACCAACTATCCAGTTTGAATCCAGGCTTGACCCTTTCTTGGCTGTATGATCTTGGGTGGATTTAAGTTATCCACCTTGATTTCCACACATGTAAAAAGCAGGTGGCTGTAGAAACTACCTGCTAAATGTGAGGAGGCAGAAGAACAGTACCAGGTGGACGGTAAATGTATAAATGTTAGCTGTTATTCCCTTGGTGGAAGCCCACTCGTTTTCCCCCTAGCGCTGAGAGACTGGAGTCTTGCTGTGATGCCTTGCCCTGATGATGGAAATATGATGTCTAAAGAGGCTTTAGTCTAATGTCTAAAATGCTTCACATTTCTTTCTTTCCCTCCAGCATAATGGACTTCGTAAGAAGCTGGGTCTTTTTTGCTTAGGGTAACTCTCCATCAGCTAGACATCAGCAGTTCTTGGAAATGTGTTAGGTCAGAGGGCAGCATAAAAATGGCAAGACTTGGGGTGCCTGGGTGGCTCAATCGGTTAAGTGTCTGCCTTTGGCTCAGGTCATGATCCCAGAGTCCCGGGATTGAGTCCCACGTCGGGCTCCCTGCTCAGCGAGGAGCCTGCTTCTTTCTCTGCCGCTCTCCCCCACTCGTTCTCTCTCTCTGTCTGAAATAAATGAATAAAATCTTAAAAAAAAAAAAAAAAAAAGACAAGACTTGTTAGTGAGTAGGCCAGAGGGATAATATCCCTGTCAGTCATGACTGGGAATCCCTCAATAATGGCAAGTGAGTATGTACTGTAAAATGTATACTTTGAAGGGTTTAATGCTGTTTTTTGCAATTTGTAAGATTTTTCCCTTGTGTGCATACACATATGGTATCACTTGGGAAAATGAGATGTGTAGCTATGACTTGGCGTAAAAATAGAATTGGAAAATCCACGTATAATTGGAAATTGATGTTTGGGCTGGCTAAGGGTAGGGATGAGCTTATAAACCTTATTGACAGCAGATATTTCATCAACTTCGGGTGTCATCAGGTACCCACCCTGTTTTAGGTGCTGAGGATGGAAAAGCAAATCCAATACAGTTGCCCCTCGCCCCCACCAGGAATCAGCCCTGGGGAAGGACACAGATTATGTGAGACTGACTCTTACAGAACCAGATGGTAAACCAGGTGTGCTTGGACCAGCCGTCTTAACATCCCTATCTTGAAGCACATTCTTCTAGGACCTTAAAAATGTGATGGTTTACAAAGGATTTTTTACAAACATTCACTCACATAACTCCTAGCAGCCCTCTGAGAAGGCTCTTGTCCTTATTTTACAGGTAAGGAAATGGAAACTCAGAAGTTAAACAGTTCGCCTGTGACTTTTTCAAACCTAGTTAATCGTAGAGCTGGTCTTCAAGCCCATACAGAGTGATTTCAAAGCCAGTCCTTTCTTCATTGCATCAGCCACAGAATTTTCACCTCAGTCACCATGGCTAGGAATGGTGTTTATTCCCCAAAGTGGTGCTCATTATTACCTAAAGGAAAAGACTGCTCAGGTTTTCTTAAAAGCAAGAGTCCTCTACCTGGAGCCTGGTGCTTCAAGTTGGGATGTTTGATTATAGATTAATAGGACTACAGGACTGTTTAGTTTCCCATAAAGTTGTGATACTTATTTTTGGTGAGGAAATATTTGACTAAAGGGACCAAGTCCCCTCATTGTAATACCCAGTTACAAATTCTAGCCATATTTATTTGATGACTTTTAGAAGGGATACTGGATACGTGCGGTCTTCACCCATAGCTGCTATTCACGGTTCAGGGGAACTTCAACTTCTTGGGCCTTGTTTTCCCACGAAGGAAATGAAGGGAATTGGATTAGTTAATTCCCACAAAGCCCCTTTGTGTCTAAAGGTGTTTTTCTGTGATATAAAATAATGATCACTCTCAGTGTCTGTTTCCTCCTGGGTGATGGGTGTTTTCTGTTCTCCAGCAGATGCCAGAATGCTAAACTCTTTGGGGCTTCAAAATCCTTTTAGGTATGATGTTTTAGTCTTATGAAAAACTGAAGCACATAGTTACCTGGAATGCTGGGCCTAGATCCTCTGTTTCTCAATTAAGTATAAAAGGAACCGCGGTTTTGGTGGGTGGGGATGGAGGTTGAATGGCTGGGTATGTGTTTGCTAGATCTACTCTACTTCACTGTCTCCTAATAAAGCTGTCACATTCAAATGTACCTAAAGGCAGAAAAGGTCCATCAAATCAGAGGCAGGATTTTTTTGTAATGGTGTTTTACTTACTGCTTCCCCAACTCACTTTTTGGTTTCTACAAAACGACCACTTGAGAAACTAAAATGTTCATGCTGTAACAAAAATCTGGGGCTTATGGGGTTTTTCCTACCCCAAAGGTACAGAGTTTCTGTTACCCATGTCAGTAACTCACCTTCCTCCTCATCCTTTTTCCCCACCCCACATCTTTGAGGGTGGAGACACACACATAGTAAACTCCTTGGCAACGAATAAGTAACTTTTTGCCCTTGCCTCTTAGAGAAATTTAAGCTTATAAGGACTTAACTGATTCTTTAACATTTTTTAAAAACTTGTGAAATTCATATAATATAAACCTAACCATTTTAAAGTGAATAATTTAGTGACAGTACACTCACAATTTCTGCAACCACCACCTGTATCTAGTGCCAAAACATTTCGATTACTCCAAAATAAAATCCCTTATCATTAAGCAGTTTCTCTCCATTCCTTCCTCCCCTTAGCCCTTGGCAACCTCCAGTCTGCATTCTGTCTCTATGGAATTACCTATTCTGGATATTTCATATAAATGGAATCATACAATATGTGACCTTTTGTGTCTGGCTTCTTTCACTTAGCATAATGTTTTTGAGGTTCATCCACACTGTAGCAGTATCACAGCCTCATTCCTTTTGTTGCTAAGTAATATTCCATTGTATGTGAATATCACAATGTGTTTATGCATTCATCTGTTGATGAACACTTGGGTTATTTCCACTTTTTCGCTACTGTGAATAGTGCTGTGATGAATACGTGTCTGCATTCACGTTGAGTACCTGTTTTCAATTTGGGGGTATATACCCAGGAGTAGAATTGCTGGGTCATATGGTAATTCTTAACATTTTTGAGGAACTGCCAAACTGTTTTCCACGGTGGCTGAATCATTTTAACCTTCCCACCATCAATGTATGAGAGTTCCAATTTCTCCATATCTTTGCCAATACTTTGCTATTTTCCATTTTTAAAATTATTATTATAGCTCATGCTTGATTCTGAATCCTGATTTCTACCTGATTCTCAAATCTGGTGATTCTCCTTTTGGTGATTTCCTCTCATTAGTCTTTTTTTTTTAAAGGTTTTATTTATTATTTGAGAGAGAGAGAGAGAGAGAGAGTATGGGGGCGGTGGGCAGAGGGAGAGGGAGAAGCAGACTTCCCGCTAAGCAGGACTTCTCCCAGGACCTGGAGATCATGACCTGAGCAGAAGGCAGAGGCTTAACTGACTGAGCCACCTAGGTGCCCCCTCCTATTAGTCTTGTAATTAAACCAGATAACCACTTCTCACAAGTTATTTCTCTCTTACTGAGCCTTAGCTTTATGGCTCTCAAGGAAGAGTCTTTATCAACTTAAGCTATTTTCCATTTCTCTTCATGCTAACGGTTTTTATATTCTTTTCCTTAATCTCCTTGCCTCCTGCCAGTGGTATCTAATAATAGTTTCCTGGTTAGCTGGGAGCTCCATATAAATATCAGTACTACCAGTCCATAACTCAGTACAGCCCCTCTCAGTACAATGTGCCTGCGTAGCTTGGAAGGTGGAAGTAGTAGTAGTGGTGGTGGGTGGTGGGGAGAGATGAACAAAATCTGATCACCTCTCAAGAGTAAGGACCATGTCTAATGCATGTTTGTATCCACTTTAATCCCTACAGCAGTTCTAATGAAAGAGCCCTTAAAACTTAAGTCTCTAAGGAGTGACAGTGGTACAGTTTCCCTCCTCTAATAATCTCTTCTTGTACAATGAAATGTAAAACTTTTGCTGCCGTTTGTCTCACTCTGTGAATCAATATTAGGGAATCAAGATGTTAACTAGACCTGAGTAGATCAAAGGAAGTCCCTTTTGCTGGTAGCTAAGTGTCCACAGGTGCTGATGAAGGTCATGTTCTGTGGTCGTACTCATGGCATGCTGAGAGATAACATTCCATAGTTCATACTGTGCCCTGTGAGGCAAAAGATGAACTTTCTGATACGCCCATGTAGTGAAGTACTAGAAAACTCTAGGGTATGTGTTTGTGGGAATATGGCTGTCACCATCAAATTCTTTTGTATTTACCAAAATATCACTTCTCAAGTAAACCTAAAGAGATGTCTTCCTATTAAAAAATGTACTTGGAAATGACAATGAAATTTTAGTCTTAAGAAAATTTGGGTATTGTCTTTATATTAAAGATTATATGAACTTGGATTTCTTTATAGGTGCCAAAGAACGTTCTGAGATCTATGAAGCATTTGAAAACATCTATCCTATTCTAAAGGGTTTTAAAAAAGCCTGAGTATGTCACTCAGCATCTCACATTATATTGGTTTGAGTGTGTGCATAAGCCCAGTGCACAAACCACTAGACTATAGGTTTTCTATGTAGATTTTGACTTTGTTAAAAGATGATTCTGAGTACCCATGCCTAAGAACTGAAGAAACTTTTTTTCGAAATGACACGTTATTTTAAATACTGAAAAAGTAAACACTTCAGAATTTGATTTAGGACCTTGTTAGAATGATGTTTAATCATTAAAATTTAATGCTCTGCTCTTGTGAAAGATGTAGTCTGTTAATGTGTTCTCTAAAAATACATAGGAATATACAGACATTTCAGATAACTGCATAGAATAGATCATATCTGCAACAACATCATCTAGCAGGATAGAAAATTTTTTTTGCCTTTTAAAATATTGAGTAGATGGTCCTGGCCACTAGGTACAGGCACTGTGAAGGATCCTGTCAGAATACAAATGAAACATGAAAGTCTGGAACCTTAAGACAAATATCCTTTTGTTTGAAATGATGAGAGGAAATTATTCCTCTTGCTTAAAAATGAACTTTCAGGAACCATTCAGGTTTAGTGTAAGCTCTATTTTGAAAACAGCTTAGGGACTTACTGCTTTTTTTGTGCCTTAATAATTCTATGTCATGGTATTACAATAGACTAGGTAAGACTAAGAGGACGGAGCAAAGGGTTCAGATGCGAGACCTAATTAGATTGTGGAATCCTCAGAATTTTTTTAATATTTTATTTACTTATTTGACAGAGAGACACAGCAAGAGAGGGAACACAAGTAGGGGGAGCGGGAGAGGGAGAAGCAGGCCTCCCGCTGAGCAGGGAGCCCGATGTGGGGCTCCATCCCAGGACCCTGGGATCATGACCTGAGCTGAAGGCAGACGCTTAAGGACTGAGCCACCCAGGTGCCCCGAATCCTCAGAATTTTTTTTTTTCCACACTGCAATAGTTAATTTTATTTGTTCAAGGGCTCATATTGCAAGCATTAAACCAAGCATGGGCTTTGATTTTGTGAGCCCAGATTCACATATTTAGGAAGATAAAAGCAAACTGTGATCCATGTATATGGATGAAAAACTAAAGGCTCACAGTTAATCACATCATAGTTTTAAATTTCTACAGCCTAGAAGCCAGAAGTCACAGATCTTTTAGGTCTTTTTGGATGTCCCACAAGGTATCTGCACTTTTCTTGAGCTGGGCAACCTCATCATCCTTCAGCTTCTGGTTGATCACACTGGTTAAGCCCCGAGCGTTCAGGATACATGGAAAGCTCAGGAAGACTTCGTTCTCAATGCCATACATCCCCTTCACCATTGTTGACACTGGATGAATCCTGGACAGATTTTTCAACATGGATTCAATGAGATCAGCCACACTTAATCCAATAGCCCAGTTGGTATATCCTTTTAGCTTGATGACTTCATAGGCACTTTCCACAACCATCTTATGCACTTCCTTCCAATTTTCACTGTCATTGTTCCCATTTCTGGATTCAGTTCCTGAAGAGAAACGCCTGCCACATTCACTCCACTACACACAGCCACACTTGAATCGCCATGTTTTCCCAAAATCCATCCATGGCAGCTGCTGGGATGAATGCCAAGTTTTTCAGCCATGAGATAGCGAAATCTAGCAGAATCCAGATTACACCCACTTCCAATTACACAGTGCTTGGGTAGTCCACTTAGTTTCCAGGTAACATGTGAGAATATCCACTGGGTTGGAAACCACAATTATGATACAATCAGGACTGTACTTGACTATCTGCGGAATAATGAATTTGAAGACATTAACATTCCTCTGCACCAGATTGAGCCGGCTCTCTCCTTCCTGCTGGCGGACTCCTGCAGTCACCACCACAATCTTAGAATTGGCAGTCACAGAGTAATCTTTATCTGCCACAATTTTAGGTGTCTGAAGAAATAAGCTCCCATGTTGCAGATCCATCATTTCTCCTTTGAGTTTATCTTCTAAAACATCCACAAGGGCAAGTTCATCAGCCAGAGACTTTCCCAGAATGCTGATGGCACACGCCATACCAACTTGTCCAACACCCACTACAGTGATCTTATTGTTTGGGATGGTTGCCTCCTCTTCTACAACTGGTGCAATCAGTTTTTCCTTAAGAGTTGCCATTGTGCCCAGAGAGAACCCGTGGGGAGAGTCGCGCGAAGAAGACAATGTCAGCTGCGTGTGTCTCCTCGGGCGCAGGATCTGCAAGGAATCCTCAGAATTTGATGGAGATGTGCAGGTTATCAGGGAGGGATGGGGCTAACTAACATGACTCATGGCTCTTGTTCCCAAGTGGTTAGGAATTATGTCTTGCACCAAGATGAGGAAACAGATTTGTGAGGAGGGAGAGTTCAGTTTCTGACATGCCAGTTTGTGGTGGCCACCTTACATCACTTTATGCCTCCTAGGTAGTTGTGAATCTTTGGGTGTGGAACTTGGGAGTCACAGCTAGAGAATTCAAGGCAGTTATCAGTTGACAGCCTACCAAAAGAATCCTTGAGAATCACTGGTCTAGGTAAACTGACTTACAGGCACATTTTTCTTTTTTCCTTCTGTAGTTTGGAGGCATTTTCAAACACGAATTACTCTGATTTAATCCTCCCACGCACCCTATTTTACCTCCACAGAAAGTGATTTGGAGTAACCGAGTTAGGTTAAATTCTACCTAGTTCAAATTCTCAGAGCAAGGTCCAGAGTAGAATGTTGGACATTAACTTAAAATTCAGTTTTCAGAAAGATAACTTTGCTTTCCACGTTTAGCACGATTGTTTCCACTTGTTCGCTATTATCAGCAAAGTACTATCAGATTACTGTTAAAGGTATGGTTCACCTTCACAACGTTGGGTAGGTACTGTATCTCCGTTTAACAGATAAGAACACAAGTACAGAGAGGTTAGGAATTTGACCCAAAACACAAACCTATAAAGGAGGTGGGTGAGCCCAAATACAACCTCTCTCCACGACTCAGCCCCCTCACCCGATTTTGCTGTACTTTTCAGCAAATTTAAAAGCACCCATAGCGAATTAAAGAAATTCCCTTATTTTGTTCCCAATCCGTTTTCCCAGAACCCCTAGGGCATCGTATTACTATTTCTTGCACAAGCTTGAGGCGTTAGCTTGTAGCCTTGGCATGATCAAGAGAATGATGACATTTTGGCTGACCCGCCACTCTAACCTAATTCTCCACGCTTCGGGCTGGCTGCCCCTCTGCAGGCAGGAAAAGCAACAGCGCCCCCCGCCCGCCTGGCCAAGAGCACCGAGAGGCTGGGCAAGAGGCTCGCCGGACCCCACCCGCCCTCTCGGCGCCTCCCCAGGCCCCTCCTCCTCGCCCAGGATGCACCTGGTTGAAAACAAAATCCCACGTGACTGGCTCTGCTCTCCGGCCATCATGGCGTCTCCCAGTGGGAAGGGAGCCCGGGCGCCGGAGGCTCCTGCCTGCGGGCCCCGGCCGCTCGCCCGGGACTTGGTGGACTCCGTGGACGACGCGGAGGGGCTGTACGTGGCGGTCGAGCGGTGTCCGCTGTGTAACACCACCCGCCGGCGGCTGACCTGCGCCAAGTGCGTCCAGAACGGCGATTTCGTCTACTTCGACGGCCGCGACCGGGAGAGGTACGGCAGCCGCCGCGGCTCTATTGTTTCTTCCCCGGGTGTCTCCTATCGCTCCGCGAATAGAGGTTGGGGCCTGGGGCCCGGGTCTGGGGCCCGGAGCTCCGCGAGAGGAGGGGGATATGGGGAGGGTAGCAGCTTTGCGCCGGCGCTTTGCTCCCGGGGGTCGGGGGTGGGACCAGAAGAGGGAGGGTCGCGGTTTCTCCACTAACCCACCCGAGAAGAGTCTGACCCCACGGTGCTCCTGGGTACTAAAGGTAAGAGATAGTTGGTGACTCTGGATAAGTCTTCCCCTATTGCTGTCATAGAGTTGGATTCTCGGCACTTGGCTGGACTTCCATTCAAAAGCTTGGTTTAACCTTTATCTTCGAAAGCACGTTCATTCTCTAGAGGAGAGACCAGGAGAGAATCAAATGACTGGTTAAGGAGGATTCGGGCCATGGTGCCCTGTGTCACAGCTGGACCTTGTTAGGAGACATGCTTATTCTGATGTGTGAACTAGGACTAGCTAGTTGCTCCCTTTCCCCCTCTCTGCCTCCGAAGATTATTTTGGACATTAAGACATTTGGCGATGTGTTTTGGCTTTATTTAAAAATCCAGACTGGGAGGCGTAAGCAAGCCCGTAGTTAAGAGAATTGAATTTCGGAGCATGTTTTGGCCTTGTTTTGAAATCTAAACACAGAGCTGCTAGGGTCTGGTTAAGATAATTGGAAAATTAGGGACACCTGGGTGGCTCAGTCGGTTGAGCGTCTGCCTTCGGCTCAGGTAGTGATTCCAGGGTGCTGGGATCGAGCCCTGCATCGGGCTCCTTGCTCAGCGGGGAGCCTGCTTCTCCTGCCTGCTGCTCCCCGTGCTTGTGCACTCACACAGACACTCTCTCTGGCAAACAAATAAAATTAAAAAGATAATTGAAAAATTCGTGTGATTAACTGCAGGATCTCAACTTTTGTTTCAGTGATTTAGTGTCATTGACGGTAAGGTAACTTTCTGAGAGCGAAAGTTCAGGTATTCATTTACAACAACCCAATACGTTTTTATCTCCAACTTACTGTTGAGGAAACTGCCCAGTAAGTGCCTTGCCTTGGTCACACAGATAATAAGCAGAGGGACCAGAATTAAAATCCAGACAGCCTGAGTATATCATGTATCATGCACTTAACAGGATTGTACAATCTCTATATTTGGAAACGTTTTGAGTTCCTAGTATTTCTCTGATCATAAATGGAGTTTCTCTTTTGGATTTTGTATGATATCTTTTTAGTTCATTACTGTGTCTCATTGATGCACTTGATGGCTTTAGAAATTGCTGGTGCAATAAATGATAGCTTTCAAAATTAAACCAGTTGTTTTACTATAAGACTACTAGGCATGAGATGGCAA